GCGGCTGCCTTGAGGCATCCGCCCGTCTATCACAGAATGAAGTGTAATCGTAAATAAATAAGGTAAATTGAACTAAAGATTTTTGCGAGTATTTCAGCAACTAAAGCTGAGCGACGGTAACACGTACAGGGAAAAGTTGTTCACAATATTGACTTTGAATTTAAATATTGTCCGCTTTGTAAATAATTACCTAACATTTGAATAAAAATGTATATGGTAAATCTAAATGTCCTCTTTTTTTTACATTATTGATCATTTAGATCGAAAACCTACAAATTAAATAATTGGTTGGCACCGAACAATAATTTTTCGTTTGCCATAAATTATACTTTTTCTCTTGCAAATTATCAATCCTTATTATTTAATTTCACTCTTTTCCTCTTTTTATTAAGTTCCATTTGTATTACAAACTCATTTTTTAAATTTCGTACAACTTGTACCGACTCTAGCCCAAGATACACCAAAAAGGTTTAGTGCAGTCTAATTGCTAAATAACAAAGAGACGTTGTAAGTCGTAGGTCTGATTTCAAGTAATGTTGCATTGGAGAATATTGTTTTCCTGTGATATTTTATAAATCATCCATCCAATTTTTCCAAAGAAATGATTACGTGATCGATAATTAATAAATAGCTTGAATCACGGTGACGTATATATTCAATCATGCTTTAATTCAAGATTTTATGAATGCAATACTGTTTATTTGAGCTACATATATAAACCTGTTTTTCAACTTATGAAACATTTTCCTGATATAATAATTATGTCTTATCGGAAGCATTCGAGATCTGTAGGTTATAAAATAATAGCTAATTGAAGAACTACATAATATGTGAATTGTTAACAAAACTCTCGTTTTCCAGTCTTATGTATTGCAAAATAATTTTTTCCTAGACAAGAAAATTGCTTTGTTAAAACAATGTACATATATTCGCAATTGCGATGACTAATGAAAGATATTTTATAATTAAAATGCTTCCCAAATCTACAATTTATATTTCCACGTAAAAAATTTTCTAATCAAAAATTTGTGTGTCATTCACATTAACATTTGGGACATCGTCTAAATCTAAATTCTATTATAAATTCACAAATACAAAAAGCGTACAAGATTTAGAATTACAAGATTGTACCACCATTTCTCTAACTTCTTAATTTCTACCACAAACAATAGAAAACATGGCAAACGTTATTTTTTTCCTAAATTAAATGGCCGTGTAACTATAATATCATGTACCAATCTCAATTTGTGTGAACCAAACATTACACGGAAAAACAAATCTAACGCATGTCTCAATAATATTGAAAATGTAATATTACATAATATTGAAAACATAATATAAAATATAATATTTTTAAGCAGAGATTAACCTACGCGTTTCCTTTTCTTTTCTTTCCTCGCGTAAAACGAACAGATTAGACGTAATGACCATTGTGAGAAGAAATCGTCCTACGGGAACGTGCAATTTGTCTTGCACAAGTGCAAAATGCAGAGGTACGTTGAGCTATACAACATGATGGAAAAGAGAACCACCTGTTGCAGACGCCTGTTGCCGCAGTTCGTTCCGCAGCTGGGCAACGGACGTGAATAATCCGTCGCTTTGCACAAAAATAATCGGTGATCTACCTCCTTTTGCGCGCATTGCGTGTCACATCGCGTCGTTCTAATCGCACCGAATACAGAAGGAAAAACGAATGAATGAATATATGGCGCTATTGTTGCACACCTTTGAGTAACCTGTGATTACGAATCAAAGAAATAACATGTGCTTTGTGTGGTAATCATTCTTAACGTGCGTTTAATGTGGCAATTTTGTTTCTATCGATCGTAGTTAATTGACTGGTGTGAATCTGTTGGAGTTTACAGAGCGCCAAATAGACTGTTATATTTTGTAGAACGATGATTACCTCATAATTAATTAGACTTAGACGTATATTTTGAAGAATATAGCGATAAGAGACAAAACAAAAATAGTTGACTTTTTCCTAAAGTAGGTGAACAATTTCCAGAATGTAATAAAGAAAGAAAATAGAAGATTTTCTTAGTAAACGTTTTAGTCTAGTGATCATCATGCTTTCAAATCTTTCAAGTGATCGACAATCTTACACAATAATTTATCTTACTCTTAAATCCTACAATTTTGCAACGCTCTATATGCGTCTATATGTTTGTTATTATTATATATATGTATTTAATAACACTTATGAGTTATATATATTTCGCAAAGAATCGAGTATTTTTCTCGAGTATGAAAACTACGATCGACACCTAGGTAGCTGGTATTTATAGTTTTTCATTGACTCTCACACGTTAGCCCACGGTTATAGAAAGTAGCCTACATTAACTGCAGTCATTAACAGGCGATTTGTATTCAAACTCGCGCTATTTTCTATCCAATGGAAATTGCGGTAATGATACAAGTCTCCGTCGATATCTAGAGCGTAGACGAATAGAGGGCTTCTGGAACTCATAATAAATAACGAGGCTTCTTGTTTAATATAATATTTACGACAGATTACAACCAGATCAATGGTATCAACAAGAACGATCTATTAACAAGGTAAAGGTACCTGTATGTAAAAGATTCTTTTAATTCTACTAATGTTCGTGGCTCCCGTGTTTGAATAGATCAATCGTTTGCAATAAAAAATACTATGTTTGGTTCGGAAAGTATTGGTCGCCACTATCACTTTTACTTTATCATAGAACGGAAGGAAAGTATTCTCGTTTTGTGACTCGGAATTTATGCGAACAAATCAATGTTAAGTTCATGTAAAACAAAAATCGAGAAATCTACATGTAATTAACCATTCACTTTTTTCAAATACGATCTCTGTAGAAGCAAAGAGAACAGAAATATTGAAAGCACAGTAAAATTTTCAATGCGGGATTTTTAATATCTTAATTTGATTTGTATCTGAGGAAAGATTATATTATACATTTTCGTTGACGTAATACTAAACAGATGGTCACAGTTTAGACTCGCATATTGTTTAAAGTTTAAGCGGTGATAGAAAGTGAAATAGTAACAGTACGAACCATTAGTCCGTAGATCCTCGTGCGTAGGTTGAAAATGGGAACGATGCTGTAATTGGAAACCATAGGCCGGAAGCCACGGATTCGGTCCGTTCACCAGATCCATATCCAATGCTTCGAACGTGGTCGGTGGCTCTTCGTCGTCCTCGGCCTCGACATCGAGCTTCGTGGACGACGTGAGCGTCGTGGCCGTGGTCATTGTGGTCGTCAACGTTGTCGCATTCAGCTCCTTCGTGCTCATCTCCAACCGGTGGAGACAGAGACGTGTCCAGCTGTGTTCGGTGACTGACAGTCATTAATCGCTTCGCCGAACTGTGAACGTTCTTTCCGCGTTTCCTGGCCGACCCTCATGCTCTGCCCTCGAACCCTTCCCGCTACGAAGTCATCGTTTTCTAGAACAGTGAATACGCACTTCCATTCATACGCTTACATATTCTGACGCTTCTATTAAATAAGAAACTTGGAGAAAAAATGGAAGGAGCTTTTTCCAAAAAAAAATGAAAACGATACGTAACATTCGTATCGATGTGTCTATAAGACTTTATTGTAAATTCCCAAAGTCTTCCCAAATATACCGAATTTTTCTATTAAAGTATAATTTTATCTACGATTTTCTGAAATTAATGATTATATCATTTCTACTATTTTTCTTCCGAGTTTCTTAAATATCTCTTTGTTATATCTAACGAAACCAAACACTTAATAAAAGGAAGGATTTAGTAACTGTCATACAACGATATAAGAACATTACAGAACGACACAGGAAGAAAAGCAATATGTATGCACATATTCTACATTCATATTATACAACGGTTACATATAGATATCTACACGTATTATGCAACTTAACTAACTAGTTCAAATTCGATATGAAAAATGTGCTTATACAAGAAAAACAAAGATTGAGAATATAGCGAAAAAAGGCAGTTCGCGAGAAATTACGTAACGGAAAAGATGCGTGATTTGTTAAACCTACGAAGCGGTGTTGCGTGCACAGAATCGAAATGATCACGAAGACTTTGTCAGTAGTTTATGAACCGTAGCGATTCGCGGAACTTTCAATGGCTCTTTCGAATTCTAAACGGCGATTGGGTAGCCGGTAATATTGTAGAAAATGAACAGTACGCTTTATAGGTGAAATTTAATGCCCGTTAGAGGAATCGTTAGGCGGGAGTAAGTAGTAGCTACGTGGCGCGTATAATTTCAGTGACGCAATTTTCTGCTTTGCAGCAAATAACGAAACGGTGCGGAATTATTTATTCTCGTTACTGTGGTTAATAGACCAACTGCTCCAAAGAAACGCGAGGTACTAGTGGTACGACCGTTATTTCAAAAAATGGACAGATGATGTACATTTTCTGTGGCATTAATGGTATGTTTAACTTTTAGGTTTGAATTCCATTTCTACGCTTTTGCTATTCATAACTGATTATTTTTGTATTGCTTACATAATTTGACTCCTTAATGATTACTTAATTTATTATTTATATTCACAAGCTCGTGTCAGTGTACAATTGTTATGTTTACTTATATAAACGACTTATTTATTCAAATCGTGAAATTACCTACTCAATGTAAATTTTAAAGTAACATGTAATGACTTTATTCATGCAAAATAGAGGATTGCATGATGTTTAGATATCTTAAATTGTTCATTAATGTTTTTTATCTAAAGTAATATGCAACAAACGCATTAAGACGCAAAATTATTTAACGCAATTAAACGCAAAAGAATAAAATTCTTTTCATAAATTAAACTAAATTACAGAACAAGCGTTCTAACTGTTTACAACAAGCTGCAAGATCCCGTATACAATTTATTTTAAACAAATACGCAATTTCGATTCGATCGATTCTGCGCAGATCCCTTCAACGATGACCGTGAAACGATTTACTCTCGCGCCTCTCACCGCCCACTGAAATCGAGGTTTCACGGTGTTTTAATTAAAAAACAATACTCGCGCGAAAGAAACGCGTGGGTGTAATGATCAACCTCGAAGAATCACGCACTGATATACGAACACCGTAAAGATCTACGAAGGAATCCGTTGGCCGCTCGTAAGTACACGTATGTACACGTACACACGATGTTGCACGAAAGAAACGACGACGGATCTACCTTGTTGCACGTGGTGTAACGTTAAATATTACCGCGGGCCGGGGATTTAAACGACGCAATGCAACGCGACGCGGCCGGAATCTCCGCGCGCAGCAGAAGTTACGCATGCGTAATTGGATAAAGATCGAGAGAGGTTGTCGCCCCTCGGCAATTCTCGCTGGCTCTCTCTTCCTGAAACATCGCCAAAAGCACCAGGAAATTTTATTGCGACTGGACGAGCTGAGAAACGATACGCGTGCCCGTAATTTCATAACGCCCGGACGCTGAAAAAGAAAATCCACTTCCCAAAGAAATCGAAATATCTCGTCGTCGTCTGTAATTATCGCTGCGTTTTATTATATCGATCCACGATTGGAATAATCATTCTCCTCCAGTGCAACTCCTTCCACATTTCGTCCACGTATTCATCAAGATTAGTTTATATTTGTTTATACCGTCGGTTCATGTTCAATAGCGGCAGATACGAGGACAATATCTTTACGTTTTGTACAAAATATGGTTATCGTGTGATAATATTTTTAGATTTATCTCTGAAAGATCTACATAATATAACTGATAAACAAAACACTATAATTGACACGAAAGACGGAAGGTTTACTTAATACAGTTATATGAAAATAAAAATACAATAGAACTGATATAAGAAAAGGAAACGTTATACCGTCCATAAAGGGAAAAAAGGTGAATATTAGACGAAACTATAAAGAAATAACGGATAACGAGAAAATGTCCGTTCGATATTTTCAGTTCTTTAAAAGATGCTACTTTACTTCGCTTAATGACCAAGTTACGTTGAATGCAATTGTATCAATTACCGTGAGACTCAGCGGAAAATGCACAAGCCACAGGTGAAAATGCACGCACGATCCTTGAGCGAACGTTCAATGTTTTATGTCACGATTGAGGATGCCGGAGCGCATAATACCGTGCTTAAACGGTACTCGATCTAGAGTACTGACGTATGGGATGATACCCGATACAAACCACGGGATGGAAAAACATTTTCTAAATTGACGTTCTTTTTGCGTCATTCGACTTATATAATATGGTACGTGCTCTCTAGATCATGCGATCAGTTGCTATAATTCAACGCGGATCGCAGTTCTGTACAAACAAGTGTGTTCCTAGTAGCTCTTTATAGAATTTGTCACAGTCAGCTGATGAGTATTTATATGGAAGATAGGGTCAAATGCGAGTGATTGAGTGGTCATTAAATTGTCCAAGATGGACAAGAATTGTTACATTTGAAGAAAGAATGCTCAAGTTCCTTTAAATTTACAAAAGGACTCTAAGAACTTAGACAGGGTATATATACAATCTGCTTCATGTTGCATAACGCACCCTTTCCTAACTATATGGACTGTAAAAATAAATCTAGGAAAATAATAGTATGAAAAAATGACGCATTTCATGAATCTTTTTTCATATTTGTAAGATTTTAATATAAATATTGACCATGAATCGATTAGCATATTCATGTTGTAATCATAACTTCCTACTAGTAGTCTACAATATATAATATTAATGGTCAGCACTACATTTTTCTCTACAACAAAAGAAAACTGTTGTTTTTATTTTTTTGTAATAATTTTATTAGTAGAGTAGAACCAGATATCTTCTCTCTTCTATTTTGAATAATTTTTTGAAATATATAAAGAAGAACGATAAATTAGGCACCATTTCCATTTTACGGCAGTAATTCTCAATTATTATCTTACGCACCAGTTTCTCCACACCTCAATTTATGAAACAAAACTATAATTAAATTGAAAATATCTACTTTACATCCGTAAAATATTGCCATAAACATGAATGATAAATTACTTTACCCACTACTTTCAACGCGATAAATTTGCTACTCTTGCAACTACTTTTCAATTCTGAACTATGATTCCGTAACGCCGCAACACATTAATGCTTCACTATCTTTCAAAGCAAAAAAAATACATCAATATCTATCAGAGCCTATTGCTTCAAAAGTAATTATTTCATGGTTTATTCAAACAATTTTCTGTAACGTTGCTAAAAACATTAGTGGTAAATTAATTACTGCATCTAATTTTAGATAATGATTATCGGTCGATTCCTTATCGTAATCATATCATGATGATATAATGATATCAATCATTCACGACATAATAATTGCTACACTACACAAATTTTACAGATATAATTACTCCTACAAAACGACTGATCATGCATACTTGACGTACATATGAAATTTACTTAAAACATAGCTAACTAACATTTTAACTTAAACAAATGTCTTAATTCAACTGTCTCAGATTGTGCAGCATTCTCGTGACATTTGTTAGTTGTCCTTGACGGACAACCTCAAAGAAAAAGGATACGAACTGTTTCATTCCACTTGCCACGTCGCGTGTAATTCTTTGTTTAATAGTTTCAACCAAATACATACTGACTACACGTTACCGTTTAATTTACTACAATGTATGGAAGCAAAAGCATTAAAAGCGGCAGTCAAACGCACAGCGACAAAAGAACCAAGGGCTAAGAATAATGTATTCGATAAAATCTTTTCGCTAGGTACTTCCGTTAATTGGTTTCGAATCGATTCCTCAATTTTTGAGGAAATATATCGGAACATTTACTTTATGATAGATTATTTGTTTCTTTGATAAGACAGCAGAGGGTAAATCAAGCGTTCAATAACCTGGATTTACAATATATGATTTTGCATCAAGCATCGCAACCTTTAACACGTTTCTGTAGCCACTTTCACTTTACATAACACGTTTTATGCTGCAGATGTGTTTAGTAATCCAACAATATTCGCATGATTAACATCTATCAAGAAAAAATTAATCCTTCTGTCCATTGTAGAAATAGAGATGTTTGATTAACGTCATAAATAGATTAGTTATATTACTATATCAAGAGCTGGTTAATTCTATAACGTAAAATTCTATAACGCAACTTTGCCATACTCTATTGAGCCTTAAATTTGAGCAATTATGCAGCTAGCGCTACTAAGAACGTACGTACGTCACATATCTAAATTAACTAATTTATTTTCGAATCTTATCAATGAAATTGCAACTATAACTATAAATAAAACATATTTCACGAATCATAACTAGCATATTATCGAATTGTCGTTACGAGAACACAGATATATCGAAAAAGAAGAAAGAAATATAATGAACGATAATACGCTGGTTTCTCCTCTATATCGACATCCGACAAAATAAAACGAGTTGCCTCTGTACACACTTGAACCGTGACAGCTGTCAAAAGTGGCGAAGCGTCCACGACGCAACGCAGGCGCGAGAGCGATCATTGAATGAAAGAAGACAGAGAGAAAGAGAATGAAGGTAAAAGAAGATAGAAAGGAAAGAGCAAAGAGAGGTGGACGATCGCGTAAACACGCAAGTCTTACGTTGTTACAAGTGAGACGGAAGTAACGAGTTAAGGATAAGGAAAGAGAGAAAGGTTAGAACCGCATAGTGAATTCCGAGTGCGACGGCGCGGTGGTGGATACCTGTCAGCGCACATTCCACGATCCCACAGCGTGCTTTCGCCTCGTCGTTTACTACCACTGGACTTTTGCCTTCCTAACGGCAAGAGTACGTAGTCACATAAACCGCCAGTGTAATCCAGAATGGGATTTAAACGCACACACTCCAACTTGTTCATGAAAAAAGCGTATCACTTGTCACAATAGCCGGTGGATCGCGTGTTGCTCGCGGCGCGAACATGGCGCACAATTCGTATGGCGTTCACCACTAAAAAGCACAAGCGATAGAACAACAGGGATTCTCTACGGTGTGAGAGGATCTTGAAGGAACGACGCGAACAATGGAACGTGACTTAAGGCTTAAGGACACCGGAGAGCGCGAGAGCCAACTTTACACCGCGGGGTAAATACTAGAACAAAACTCGCTGCTTTCGCCCGCGGAGCGCGGCCGTGCTGGCCAATCCCCACCCGCGCAACGCCGCCACGTGGTACACAGCTTAACCAATCACAAACTGGTTACGCGGGGCCCCCCGGACGTGTTTGTAAAGCCGGCTTGCTACCGATCAGTTTCTTCTCTTCTTCTCTCGTACCGATTTAACATTTGGACAACATAAAGGAACACGAAAAGTCGCTTTCTTTCTGCCAATATACTCGAGCTGATCCTTTTTCTTCCTTTCGCGTAACAGTGCTTCACCGCTTCATGACCAAGAAAATCGGTACGCATGATTCGGAAGAAGAGATTGCAACAGGACTAAATGGAAAATCGACTAAAATATCTTTTCGCTGAGGGATAAACACACTAAAGAACCTCACTGATATTACATACAACATGTACCGTGGATAACTTTCCGGTCTCTATTATCATAATGCCGGTATGTAACGTTAAAACGACTGGATAAAACGAGAGAACAGTATGTGCATTTCTAAAATTTTTTAGTGATAGGACAATTTGTCAAGATATATAGAGTTCCCTCTCGTGTTATCCATTTATCTTAAATTGGTACAAAGATACGCGCCAAAATATTACACTTCCATTGACGTGTCTTGTTATTTTGCTTCGAAAAAGGGCCATCTGCTTGTCAAAATATCTCGTTGTTATCACGAAACATCTCGTTGTTAACTATGCATACGCGACCAGCATTTATTACATAGATCTGCATACACAACTCAATAGACCTGCGAGCGACTGAATACATAACTACAAACATTGCCTTGAATCGTGATCAATAAAATCGACTTAAGCGATATGTTTTGTGATTTGTTTTATGAGGACAATCAGATATCTAAATAACAGAGTTAGTCATACCTGTTATACCATTACGTTTCCTATCAAAATAAAACAATCAACGTGTATATGAATCAAACTCAGCGGTAAAATGAAATTATTATATACTTTATATTATATATTATGATAACATATGTTGTGATAACACGTGTTATCCAGTGATAAGACATCTTCAGCGTAGAACAGAAAAATTATTTAATAAATCGTCGAAAGAAAATGATTCATATTTTTTTGTAGCGCTTTATTATCTACATAATTAGCAAACAACTAATATTAGAATATTTTGTTTTTCATATTGTGAGTCAATATTTTGATCGTATTCACGACAAAGCCAAAGATTCTTTTATTATTTACGATATAGATATAAACTCTATCAGCTGATCAATCGGTGTAATACATTATATCTAAATACTTGCTATCTATATAAAATCATTATAGCAAACAATTACCTTCTTCATCCAGATTATCAGCAACTAAATGAAATAGTCAGACACACATATGCAATGAAGTAAGACGATAAAAATATGTTGCAAGGCTTGCATAATTCAATATCCGATATAAATATTGTGACCAAATACGACTGCACGATGTTCATCACAAACGATCTGTCATGTTTTACGCAAGACATAGACCATCTTATGACGGAAGACGCAATGCTTCGTTCCACCGAATTTCTAACGGGTAACCTCTTTCGAAAGGAAAGTTCGATCGGTACATCGATCCAGTCATCGAAACGAACGACAGGCGGCTCTGAATTCAACTCGAGAGATCGCAGGATCCATCTCGTGGCCATATGTGTGATGAGAGGAGCAGGTATGTAACGGGCCAGGGGCCACTTATCTGTTGTCCGGTGGAATTTAGTTTCTTTTTTTGAGGCAGGTCACTGACACCGAACGGCAATGGATTGACGCGGCGAGGTCAAGTCCTATGTGCGCTGTCGACAATACTTCACGTTTAAAGGTATCACCAAACATTCCTTGCGGGATATCGCGTTACTTACGCCGATACGGAACCATGATCAATCGTCCGAACCCAGTCTCTGACTATACAACGAAAGATTCAAGTCGTAAATCGTTGCGGAAGGTACAAATGGTGTAGCTTATGGTGGTAAACAACATAGCTGTAATACGTCTATTTTGGAAGGAAAGAAAAGTGTTTCGAACGTTGTTCTTCTTTAATTTATGCCGAAACGTATAGTTTGTGGTCTGTCATATTTGAATTAATAATTGCGTAGAATTGACAACTAATCAAAGCCTACGTTCGATGCGCGCGCAACATTACCTACTTAGGAAGTGCTTGGAAAAATATACTTACAAAACTAGTTTTTCTAGTTAACATTAATTTTTCAATTTATGAACAACAGGTTTATATTACACGTTGCTGTCATTCATTAAATCAGCTCTCATATGATATCGTAGTTGCTCATGTCTGAGGTGTCACGTACATATTCAGATATTTCCTACACTCATCTTTTGATGAGTATAATATTTTTATTATACTCGTCAGATGTGTCCTTTTATTTACATAATTTAATTTCTCTATCTAGTTTTTTCTATTTGACTGAAGAGCAAAAATTTCCAAATCCTATTTCTATTATTTCTAATTATTCAAAATAATAATTCTAAGGATTTTTAAAATCGAGGATGCTGATGATTTCATAAAGTGATTTCTTATGAATTATGTATGATATATACTTAGTGAAAAACTCATAATAATACATAAGATACATATTTCATAAAATTATCAAAGAATGATGATATGATATACAATGAATTAACGCTGAATAGTAAATAGATAATTACACTCCTCTACAAACATTAGCCAGGTTGGTATTGTAAAATGGAGTACGAGTTACGTACGTATACACAATACACAATGTAGTGATTTTTACAGCAACCGCTTCTCAGAGCATCTTTCAGTGTCAGAGTGGGAAATATACAAATGAATTCCTAGCATGAGAACGAAAATAACGGCACTTACTATTAAAATAGAGGTTAGTAATCAATTATCGAAGCACCTTGAAGAAGACTTATTTAATTTTTTCCCTCTTTTTCAATATCACGGAATAATTTCGATATGTATGGTAAATATTTTTATATCGTAAGATATGCGAATATGTTGCGTTTCTACTTCTATTTTAATGATATTTTTCCGATTTCATACTAAAATGTAGGAACGTTATTAAATAACTAATTAAATCTTAGTAGAAAGTAAATTAATGGTTTCATTTTATCCCGATTAGATAGACATCAAATGTTACCTGAATATCAAATACTACATACAAGGATTGATTAATAGAATAATAGAATAACACCATAAAATAATAGAATAATACCTAAATAGTAGAATAATACTATTATTCACACAGATTTTGTTAAAGCAAAAATAAAACAGTTTACAACAACTTGCTCGATTAGGTAATATTTTATCCATGTAACTGTAATTCGTAGAAAATATGTATTTTCTCTCAAGTTTGTAAACTATTTATGGAAATTTTCAAATATCTACATTACTACTAGATATTATACTATTATATTGTTACCTAATACTAGATTTTAGTAACTTCTACTTTTCAAACTTGACCATTGTGAAAAAGCTCGTCAAAAACACAGAATAACATTTCGAAATTTCGCCTTCCAAGTGATGTGATATTATTCTGTAATTCTATTGCTAACTGATTGAGTTCTCTTCCTAAAAGTAACACTCTTAATATCATTAACTTTGACAGCAAGTTCTGATGAAATGATGAGCTTCTCCGAGCTTCTCTGTTTCCTTCAAAGCAATATCCGACTCCGAAGAACTAATATGAACTTTTCTTTGATTATTAATGTATTTGAAAATTGTATCACATCCCAATGATCATTATCCCGAACGATTGTTACTTTGCATTACAAATCGATTTATCTATAATAGACATTTAGAAATGGTGAAATATCCTCATTACATATATTGTATGTAAGTATATGCTTCATTTCTGGGCAAACGGTTGACGACCGCATGAATTGTTCTAATTAAGTTGATCAGATCCAATTAAAGACTCTTTATGCCCCTTCGCAGCTAATTCCTCCCTTCTTCGATTAAAAGGAGACAGATGTACTTGTATCAATTAATTATTTTTTCAGTTATGAATGAATTTTTGATAAGAGAATCTAGAAATACTTACATTTACACAGATGTTTTATTGTTGAGTTCCCTAAATTTTATCAGAAAATTTTTCGTTAAATTATCAATAGCATATAATAAATGGTAAAGGCAACAATTATGTAAAAATCTGAGGTAACAGTAAACGTTTTCGCTAAATATGTATGTCAGGCTGACTAAAATCTCCCACATATATTTCAACGCGAAACAAACACAATCCTTTCACTTATCACTTCCTGAAATCTGATTTCAGTTTTACCTTAGTTCTAAATTTCTGCAAAATTAATACTAAGTTTCAGCGTGTGTACACAAGTTACACGTTATAAATATCCCAAATAACATTCTTGATTGGACATTTCGCTGAAGCTGAAAGATTTCATACTCGAAATTTAAATACGGATGAGAAATCATTATGCAGAAATTAATTGTGCTTTCACTGTGCTGTACATAATCTGTTTTTCTTCACTTATTACTATATTAGCTGCCCGTGCGCGACTTTACCCGCTTAGTATTTATTTTTATGACAATTTATGTTTATTATTCTCTGTTTGAACACCATTTAAGAGTTGAATTTCGAAAAACGGTCGGAAACGCATTTGTTTATTTGTAATGAGGAGTTTGTTTGCTGATTTTCACATTCCCAATTTTAATAACTCATTGGATAAGGAGTTTATCCTGTTTTTACTCCTTTAAGGTCCATATTTCCAAAATCCTTTTTTACTCTACATCTACGTCACAGAGGATGTACATATACCGTTCAAATTTCACGTTTCTGAACAAAAATAAATAATCTGGCGGCAAGAATTGAACTACGTATGCAAATAAGTTAAAAATATAGAGTAAAATTTGTTCACAAGATGTGTTTTCAACAAAAATAAACTTGAAAGTATATGATGCGCGTGTATCAAACCAGTTTTTAACTAAACATATTCAACATTTATGGGCTTGAAAATAAAGCCTTAAACGAAAATATTTTATTTTACATTCTTGTCTTATTTTCTCATGTATACATCTTTTGCATATTTTTCCATATTTTTGACTTATTTTTTCATGTAGGACCGCCGTGTAGCCAATTGTACCACCGGTTACGAACCACCCTGTATAGATTACGGATTTTTATGCGACTTCATATTTTTATGAATACAAATACAAATACAAATGGAACAAATGGACAAAACAAATGGAACTGAAAACGTGATTTGTTCCGTCCACTAAATATTACAGAGAGCACATTATTGCAGATATTTTTGCACATTATGTATCTACATTCTATACATTTTTACACTTTTAAATTTCCCGTAAATGCATAAACATCTGCAATTTATTTATCAGATATAGTAAAAATGTATCGAATACTAATTATAATGAAAACACTTTAAATATCTAAAGATTTACGACAGACATGAAAGATTGGGAGAAAACTCATTGTGAGATAGTTAAGGATTCACTTTCTCGGGTAATTTAAATTCATAGTGAAAGTAGCTATCAAAAACGCAGTACTAAATACATGTAGTAACTTTGCAGCGAATAAATATTGTAATTAACTGGTTCTTTGATTTGCTTGAAGATATACAATACAAGAAAGTCATATATTTATGTACGCTATCTGAAATTAGAAGAAGATCGAATCATTTGATCTCACATTACTCATCAGTAAAATAATAATTCACAAATCTGCTAAAGGAATCAGATCTACGTTAGGGGTACAAATGTATATACGTTAAATACATAAACATAAGGATTATAAATATATCACTCTTTGAAATTTTGTACTTATAATTTTATTGAATTCATTTAATTATATATATTCCTTGTCGCAGAACGACTTCTACTTTGGATTAATTACTTCTCTTCGAACTAAGAATAGTCATCTTCTATCTTTATTCTGTTAGCCCGCTAACATTCAAAAAACCAGAATAAAATGGACAATGCTATCAATTCCAAGGCGAGTCCAATTCTTAAACCGGATGATGTATTTCCGGATTCTAGAAAAAAATAATAAATTATTATAGACAAGGAAAAATATATATATATGCTTATAAAAATTTGTAATTATTTGAATAGTGGTAAATTGATAAAAGATATTTTTTATAGTAGGAAATTACTAAAAACGAGAATATTTCTTTTATAAAAGAAATACTGACATGATCTTTTATAATTGTACAAAAACATTGGCAGTATTATATTAAAGACATTGATAATATGAAAACAATTTTTCTTATATCGTTTTCAGAACTAAGAAAATAGAAAATTCATAAAGACTATTATATAAATAAATTTATAAACACATTTATAACCTTTTTTTCTAAACTCCGTGGTTTCAAAGAGTCATACTATAAAAGTATGCTGGAATTGCTGAAAATTCAAATCATAAACATTATCGGAATACAGAGGGTTAAACCCTGATTGATTATCTTATGTATATATATATATAAAAAATTTTTCTTCTGGTATGGATATATCTAAAAACATCTTCTCTAGAAGTTAAAAGACACATAGCAACAAAGGTAAGAATTTCTGAAAATTATTCTTCTCCGACCGATTTTTTCTCACCATAATCATAATATTGCAGTGGTTCCGTGGATTCATCCTCACAGTCCTCCGTAACGGATCTGATCTTCATAGAACCCTTCCTCTCGGGTTCGTTGATCTCTTGCTTACCCTCGAATGCAATCGCCGCATAATCGAACCTTGCCTCTCGAATATGCTTTCTGGGGCTCCGGCGACCCTTCGCGGAGCCTTTGAGCCCAATCTAGAAAAATCCAGGAAAAGATTTATGCCTAAGTACTAACCGTAATCGTAATAACGCGCTGCCTCCGACTCGTTCACCATCTCGTCTCTGTTCTCCTCGTCCTCCTCGTCTTCGTCATTCTCGTCGCCCTTTTCATCGTCGACGCCACTCTTGTTATCGATCCCTTCTTCGTCATCGTCGTCATTGTCGCTGTCATTGTCATCGTCGTCTTCGTCTTGGTTGGCATAGTCGGCATCATCGCCTAATCGACTTCTCAGAACGGACCGATTTCCACGATTGCGTTTAAAGTTTTTATTTGCCAGTCTATTTTCGCGTAACACGTATTCATCCTCACGATCAGCAGCATGGGCATATAAGAGATTACGCTGTATCGCTCGCGCTGATTCCGAGGGACACAACGTGTCTAGAAAATGAAATACCGAGATAACTGGTAATTTATGGTAGATCGTTGTAAAACAAACAAAATTTGTAAAATGAAAATAAAATTATGATACATGAATCTTAATAAATATTAAAATTTAATCTATGTAAAGATAAATGTCTTTAAATAAATTTATAGAAAATAGAGATGTTATATTGGAAGAACATAATATACGTATGTACATTATATTAAAGCTATTGAAGGCATAAAATTTATTATTTGTTAATAAATATTAACCATTTATTAATTTATAATCAGTAATTTTCAATTTTGATACTATTAGTACTACATATACTATAATATTAATACCTTCGAATCTTTCACGAGCATCATTCTCATAAGATTCGTCCAAGTTGTTGTTATTATCAGGATCAAGTTCTCCTTCGAAAGTGAATGTTCCAGTGTTGCTTAAGATACACCCTTCGGTAGAAATGCAAGGTTCTGTGAACCTGACCGCTCTCATAATTCCATCGACGATGTTTACCTCGCAGTAACATTTAACGAAGCTATCTGGACAGCTAGAAAAGTTCACACCTTTCATCACGATCAAGAAATTCAAGAGAACTTCCTCAAAAAAGCGTTGGCTCACCAAAACGATCCTGGACCGATGCAGTCTATGGCTGGTTTTCCTCTGAGAAATATAACGATATACACCATCGTGTATTGGCAGAAATGATAAACTTTAATGTACAAAAATTTAGTGTACTTTCTATATGAATATGAGTATCTACTACATGTTGTGTGATATGTTATCAGATTTAATGGGAAAGATTAATACGTTATTTAAACTTATTTGTAATTGTCATTTATTATACATGTGTTAACTTCAATTTTTATTTACGTTGCTTGATCTTGACATGATGCAATAGCTACCATAAATCCTTTACCACAAGTATTATTACATTTTGGAGAGGACCATCCCGTCCATAAAGAGTTAATCTCCGATGGAATGGAAGTTGAAGGCCCAATTTCTTCGCAGAACTTAAAATTTCAAATTTAAGAAACTATAATTAAATTATAGCCAATAGAAAGAAAGGAAAAGATATTGTATTCTTAACCTGTTTTTTAAAGTATTTCAAACATTCAATTATTACTGTAATTTACTATTATTAGTGTAATAGCTTTTACATTACTTAAAATAAAATAACAGTACTGGTTGTCTCTGATGACAGTTCGAGGCACATTGAGGGGTGTGTATTCCTTTGATTGTGGTCGCGGTGCATTGTGCAATGCCACAAACCCCACGTGGTGAACACAAACTTTCTGGTAGAGGATTCAAAAAACACGTTGCAAATCCTAAACATTATTCTTATAATAAATATTTAAATCGTGGACAATTTTTATTTCGTGTATTGCGTTGTACATTTTCTCACAAAATTTTTACTTGTAATTTTTTCATTAGTAAAAGTATATTGTAACCTTTGGTCTTATACAATTCTTGGCCAGCTAGAGAAATGGAACAGTTACAGCTTGAAATATTTTCGACGAGCAAAGTGATATCGCATAATCGCCTGTGAACTCTTGCACTTGTGTTTGAATATGGAGTAGCTTCGTTAAAAGAGCAGTCAGCTTTCCTCTGTCTTGCCAGTTCGGGTGAGCACAAATCCCAAGTGTGAAGAGTCAAACAAGGGCAAATCCCGAGGAAAAATTCACCGACCCCAGAACTATCGAGAACTTTTGATTCGGAAGGTATGCTACGTAATTCGACGAACAACTAAATATTAAATAGAACTGTATTGCATGAAAGTTTAAGCTTTGTTAAAGTATTTTCTTCAAAGTTCGAAACTATTGCACAGTTATAAAAATAGTTCCTTTTCTTTGTTTCTATTATGCAAAGGTACATTTTGTATTGAAATTGTTTACAAGAAAGAAAATATTTTGTATGAAATATTTTTTGCTTACAGCACAAAATCCTTCTCCGATTTCTACGAAAGCACATTGTTGCAGATGCAATTGCCGTACCCAGCGTGTTATATCGTAATTCGGCGATTCGTTTAAATCTTTGCCTATTAATAAAAATGGATCCCAACTATTGCTGTCCACATTGAGACCGTCAACGATACGACGAGCTTTCCCACGAGAAAGAATTAATACTGTTGATAAGAACGTAAGTATAAACATAGCCTGAACGTTAACATCATAGATTGATAATGATAAAAGTTGCGGGACAAACAAATATGTAGTTACTTGAAGTTGCTTCGTTTTCAATAATTTATTGGTACTATGTGTAATATACATTGTTCTCTAAAAATATGAAAGACATAGAAATTTTATGAGAAATTTATTTTATAATCTTTTATATAAAAATATTTTCTTTTGATAATAGTTTGATAAACATAAATTATACATTCAATTTATTTGATACAAAATACGCTATATCTATACTACTATAAAAGATACACTTTTAAATTGCAATTTGTTACCTAAAATAAGTTTTTATAACAATGATTTGGCTCTAAGCCAATATTCTTACAGAGTTTTTAATCACAAAAATATGTTTGCAATGCGAAATATGCCACATTAAATCACGTGTTGTATTCAGATACATGAAACATCATGTGCAGTTTTTATTTTTGTTTTAATGATGTGTAAACATTAAATCTTAGGTCATATTTATCATGTTGCAAAATATTGTATCATTTAAATATTTAATTTGTAATACACACACACAAAACCTTATTCTGGATGTTTCTCTAGATATGTTTTCGTTACAATGTCTGGACGAAGTTGCGAAAGTTGTACAAATTCTGTACTTTTGCAACCTATAACAGGACACCTGTAAATACAATGCGTAGTTAAAACTATTCATGAATGACAAACATGAACTTTATTAGTAGAATATTTACCTTGTCTTCTTATTAATTTTCAATAACTGCATAATACTTTCTTGATCATAAGTATGACCACATATAGTATTCTTCACAGGATCCACAATTCTCTTCTTAGAGATTGGGTCAATTACATTTACATAGCCCCCCTTTAACTGTATTTCTGCATCTGAATCATTTTCTTTCTGTGCTACTCCATCTGTAATTCAAAATGTTGTCATTGATATAAAGTATTTATTATATATACAAATTTAAATGTACCTAGCAGTGCTTCTACATGTTTATCAAATTCTATAAGTTTATCATCTTTCGATGTATCATTATCAGTCTTAGAGAGAATTAGTCTATATTCCTAAAATGTTAAAAATATATTACTTTCTTAATATCATTAAATATATTTTATAATTATTTATATTTTGTAATTACATTCAAGCGGTTTTCAGTATCACTCTGCTCCATATGATTGTCATCATTATCATCATCATTATTTAAATTTAATAATTGATTCTTTCTTTCCCTGAATAACTTTAACTTTTTATCTTGAACGCTATTGTTGTTTACTATACATTTTAGTTCTTTTAACTTCTCGTCCATTTCATTACCTTCTGTAAATATAAAAATATAACCAAATTAAACATGATTATAGAGTATTAAATTTACCTTTTTTAAGTGTAAAGTGATGAAAAGACTAAATTCTTTTATATCATATATTATTACGATAATTTGACCAATCAAGAATAATGAGAAGATATTCCAAATCTTTTGTAACCATAACAATTTATAACTATTTAATATTTTTGTGATGTTTGAGGTAATGGGCGATTATAGATATGTATTATGAATTGGATTACTTAACCTTATATACTTACCATAATAAACAATAATATTAGCAGCAGTTTTTGTGTAAGAATCATATAATTCTTCAATTATTTGTTGAGATTGCGTCATTCTTAATAATATTTCTCCAATATCTTTCTAATTGTATTTCTTATATTTCAGAAAATTTTTATATTATACCTGATTATACTTATATTATACAAATACTTTCACGATGAGTATTATTTATTCTTGCACGTAACTATGATTACAGATAAAATCATATCATAAATTGAAATCACAAAAATCTAGACCTTCAAACTACCGACTTTGTTTACAATTTAAACTATCTTAATATCGTTAGGTAAATATAAAAACATAGTTAGGTAAATTTATCACAAGATATAGCTTTTAGCAGCTTTAAATGCTTTTCACTTCAAATACTGTATGTTCTTCGTATCTCGTTTGTGTTTCAAACACGGTTTCAAACAAACATTTTAAATTACCTTGATTTACTTTGAAAAAAATTATCAATTATTTGCTACGTAGTTTACTACTACGTAGTTTAGAATGTACATATTATACATGTACAATAGTAAAATACTACGCTACATATAGTATGTACATTATACTATATACATAGTATATAGTTTGTGATTTATGATTTATATCTTTATCTTAATTTATATTTGTATCAGATTTAAAGATGAAGATTATAACTTTTTTGTATAAAATATTAAATATCTAAAATACTCAACATTTTTAATCTTTGGACCGTAAATTTGTTTACCCTCAAACTATAAACGTGGGTATTTTATGTCCGATGCAATTTTTAGTAATACTTGTATATCAGGTAACATTTGTTTAAAAAATCCCCCAAAAATTGATATAACATTTTTAAATGTTCTAAATTAAGGTTATCATAGAATTTTTGCCAAATAATTTTTTTTAGATGAAAGAAAAAGGGTTTTCTATCTATTACCTTGCGAGAAATTCTTAATCCTGTCAAAATTATCCGAACATACAATACCCACCTATGCAGTTTAAGGGTTAAGGTTGTATTAAATTATCATTTCTTCAGTAGCATATTAATGGACTAATTTTGTTTGATAATAATATTGTACGTTCATACAACTGATTAAAATATATTACTATAATACTAGTTAGTGTAATAACTAAATTACCAATAACACATAGTAAAATTACTATACAAATCTAGAAATTTTATTTTTTAATAAACAACTTGTTGCATAAGCATACTATTTTGATAAAGAAATGACCATGATGATAGTTATCGTTTTATCATTGCAAGTACATATTTTGTAACTTTCCATTTATACGTAATTCTACTCGGTACAGTTGGTAATGTAAGCTATTATACGTTAGTGTATGTCATCTGGTAAGAATTTAATATAATTACATCAGATTATGTTTATGTTTAGATTAATAATATTTTAATTTATAATTTAATATCAATGTTTAAAAATATATAACACTTCTTTTACGCTGTTTGATGCACGTCCGAGGTACCCTCATGTATTAACATTATACGAATTATCTTTAACAATAATTTATTGTAACTACTACCTGTTAGATTTTTTATCACATGTAACTAATAAAATGAAAAAAATTGTACTTAAAATATGTAAATATAAAATCATAATTTTTAAGTATAGTATTCTCAATTCTTTTATACGTCATTTTATATTTTTTATTATATAATTTTTTAATATAAAATTTTACGGTAATAAACTTATAACAAATTTATCACGAAGTATAGCATTATTTTATCATTCATTGTTTGTGACTATTTTTAGATGTTTACTAAAATTTCTTTGTCTACAACTGTTAAAGTGTTACTTTCTCTACCCACATTAAGAAATATACGAAGTTATTCTGTTATAATGAGTAAATTTGATCTTCCTGATCGCTTTAAAGGCAATGATAAATCAATATGGTAAATAACATTTCAACAATGAGATGTATTGAAAATTTTAATACATATAAACATATATATATAAGTACTTATAAATACATATTTTTAATTAATTTTATTTTAGGGTGGAATATATTCAGTTAGATTCAAAATATAAGCCCTTAAATTTAGGACAAGGATTTCCAGATTTTTATGCTCCAGAAAATATAACTAAAGCTTTGGCTGCTGCAACTGCAAGTGACAATCCTCTATTGAATCAATATACCAGAGGATTTGTAAGTATTTCCAATTTTAAAAAGAAACACACAATAAATATATTCCAGAGATATTAAATGTTGGTCATTAGTTATTTCATCATATCCATGATATTGTTATTGAATTTTTTCACTTTTAATTGCAATGATTTTAAATATTTTATGTAGATTTATGTATCTTATTTATAGATGGGAATTTTCAATATACTGTATCATTTTAGGGTCACCCACGTTTAGTAAATGCTATTGCAAAATTGTATTCGAAGCTCTTAAACCGTACTTTAGATCCAAATAAGGAAGTTCTTGTAACTTCTGGTGCTTATGAAGCATTATATGCTACGTTCCAAGGTCACACAAACCCTGGTGATGAGTGGATAATTATTGAACCTTTCTTTGATTGTTATGTACCTATGGTTAGATCTGCTGGAGGAATTCCAAGATTTATTGCCTTAAAACCAGTAAGTAAACTATCGAAGTATGTATAACTATTGATATAAATGCAAGCTCCTTATACATATTTACATCATGTATTTTGTATTCCAAAGAAAAGCACAAAGGGATCTCTTTCTTCTGCAGATTGGATATTTGACAGACAAGAATTAGAGAATCTTTTTAATGAAAAAACAAAAGGAATAATCGTTAACACTCCACATAATCCTGTGGGAAAGGTTTTTACTCTAGATGAATTACAGTTTATTGCTAATTTGGCTAAAAAGTGGAACACCCTTGTTGTGTCAGATGAAGTATATGAATGGCTTGTTTATGAGCCATATAAACATGTTAGAATTGGTAATGGTATTTGATAGTACTAATGTCATTTCTATTAATTATTTTATTTAAATGATGAATGTATTTTAGCAACATTACCTGATATGTACGAACGTACGATTACCATTGGATCTGCTGGTAAAACATTCAGTGTTACTGGATGGAAAATAGGATGGGCCTATGGTCCGGAAAATTTGCTATATAACTTAGAAGTTATTCATCAAAATAGTGTATATACGTGTAACACACCAACTCAAGTATGTATAGAATTATTAAATAAATATTTATTGTAATGTACCTTATTAGAATTATTTAAAATTATATCTTTTAACTTTGTAGGAGGCTGTGGCTATTGGATTCGAACAAGAATTAGAAAGATTTGGTCAAACTGACTGTTATTTTGTGAGTTTAGCTAAGGAGTTGCTACCAAAACGAAATTATATGGCTAAATTTCTTAGCGATGTAGGAATGATTCCAACAATTCCCCAAGGAGGATACTTTATGGTAGCTAATTGGTCAGCTTTAAAAGATAAAGTACGGTTAGAAGAAGAAACAGATGAGAATAGAGATTATCGTTTCACAAAATGGATGACGAAAAATGTTGGAATTCAAGGAATTCCCCCATCTGTATTTTATAGTCCTGAACATAAACACTTAGGGGAAGATAACGTAAGATATTGCTTCATAAAGGTAAGAACAAATTCGGCATAGATAATATCGAGCTCCTTGTTCTTCATATTTATAATTGATTTCTTTTTTATCATAGAAAGATGAAAATTTGAAAAAAGCAGCTGATATTTTAATGAAATGGAAAGATCAGCAATAGTAACAACTATATTTATCTGTAGTTAATAAGAGATAAAAAATCTAGCATTTCTGTAGAAAATTGTCCAATTACTTAAATATCAGGTATTATCTTTAAAAGTTATTTTAAATTATATTAAATTTTGCTATGATACGCAATGGGTAATTTTTCACAATTATATACAGTCTGCACAAACACATTGTTATTTTTCTTGTATTAAATTTTTATTATGCATAAAACTGTTTTCTTATATTTTATATTTTATTCAGAGAAATCACCACGGAGCCATCTTTTCGCATCTTTAGTGTCAGCTCCAAAAGTTTTGCCGAATCTAAATGAAATATTTAATATCTAAATAAAATTTTTTAAGTATACATACATATACATGTGTATAATGTATAAAGATCAATTTTTTATATTTTCCATATTTTTCGGAATATTTGCGACGAGAAATTAAAATAAGAACCATAAAATAGAAATAATAACACAATAAAGTAATAAAGTAATGATTACCTGAATGTTTCTCCAGGAACATGTCCAAGATAATTTGGAAGCATACCAACATGTTTGTGGTAAATAGTAGTAGGTTGAATTAATAGAGGTGGATCAGGTCGTGAAATTGTTACTGGTGCCCATTCTGTACTTTGTCGTTTTCGATAATCAGATGTAAAATCGCAAAGGGCGCTATTAGTAGCTGGAATGTTTGTTTTTCCAAAATGCGCATATCCGTATGGTATATGACCCCCGTATCCTGCAAAAATACAATTAAATGTTTGAAATTTTATATTATAAGGAAAACTAATTAATATTTATCTTTCTAACTTTAACTCTCACTTCTTGCATTTTCTCGAATGAAAGAATATCGCATTCGTTTTTCACTATCCGTAAGATCCATCTGTACTACTATTTATTGTTAATATTATTTTACAAATGATATCGCGTATTTATCTGTTCGTTAATTCATTTTATTAACAGGTCGAATTTATGGAAGTCATTAAAGGTTAAAGATTTCGTGAAACAGTTGAATCATACGGAACGATGCTTATGTAAGTTTTATACTACATATAGAATCATTCGAAGACAAGTTCAAGATAATAATAACGTGACAACATGGACTCACGACTGATAAAGTATTTTTGCGGATTTGCATTGTCCATAAAGTAAGGGGATGGAGAGTGATCGCTGGGTGTTTCGTGTTGTTCGTCCAAAAATAAATTCCTCGTTACACCCACGCAATCAGGTCGAACTGTTAGCATAGGCAGTTTAAACTCACTTTTTATGAGCTATATAAGAAATTTAGATATGATTTCATTATTCCTATCCTTCCCTTATTTCCTTATTTCCTTATTCCCTTATTTTAACTAAAAAACAGATCGTATAGATACTTTACCAAACGATCTTCTAAATTTCTTGGTTCACCCTGTCCAGCTTGTATATCTATAATTCGTTTAAGTTCATTAAGAGCCGCTCTGTTTCTTAATTGTTGTCGTTCAAATTCGGCAAGTCCTTCTGTAGCCAACACCGTGTATCTTTGTCCATTTCTGGCTTTTAGTTTTGGAGTAAATCCTAAAATAAAACATTTACATTGTCATTAAACTGGTACATTTACCCTTCTCTATAATGTTTATTTTTATTCCATATATGTACCTTCGTAACTTGGTATTATAGGATGAATAAATATAGGATCGGTCCTTTTGTATCTAGCATTTACTACGTCTATGTCATTTTTCGGTGGTCTCTGGACCTATAGTTGATTATAAATAATTATAAATAATATTATTATTTTAATAAATTATATTATATATATTATTTTAATTAATTTAAACTTATAAACAGCATTGATTAAAGTAATAGGAACAAAGACTATAAAATATTGTATAATACCTCGTAATCGTCGGGGATACGGTTCGATAAAATAAGGGTCTCGGCATGATTCACTGTAGGATCAAGAAGCACTTTGTGCGTGAGATTTCCATACGTTTCACCACATCTGTAGCGATATTGAGGACAATATCCGGCATATCTAAAACGGACCTTTATGAATGTAGAAGAGGTATCAATGAATATAAAAGTTAAAGGGTAATAATATTTTAAATATTTCTTACTGTACTGTATTATTTAGGAAACGTATATGTTCTACGTATATGTATTTACATTTTATATTTAATACATAAACGCTGTACTATTTACCCTGGAATAAGATGTGGTTCCGCTGTGGATAATAATTCTGTCCCAGCAGACATTTTTCTGTTATATATTTCCTAATGATACGTTAATTTAATTAAATGCATTATCCAGACTAAGTGGAATTTAAATTATTTCCATGTACTGGAATCTTTTCTTTTATACATTAATTTATTGGCATGGCTACCGAAAGGTTATACACTACATTTCCGCAAAGTAATGTCTGAATTTTGCTTTAGAACACCTTATTTTCCGAAACTTGAAACAAATGAATTTTAATCGTCCGTTTTTCATTATATTGAGGCGCATCAACTGCCTTACTTATTAGCAACTGTGTTTGGTGCAATGGATTTTTGTGACTGTGCACGTGAGGTGAGATACTTGCTTAGGAACCGTAAAAATACTCGCACGATGTATAACTTAAACAACACTTTACGTTTTCGCTTTTACCACGAATACGTTGGCATCGTCAATTTTTTCTATTTCCTGACATTTTTTTTGTACAGTTTTATTTTACGCAGCGAATAAGCTGTTCAATAAAGAAGAATTCCTTACTGAGTATTAACACGATTCAGTGCTACGATATATGTATAACACGTATGTACATATGTACATGTATGTATGTATACTCCGCATCAATATGGAAAAGCTATTTAATTGATTTATTTTAAATAACTATCACGTTGCAATCTTATCAGTTTATCTTTGATTAAAGTAGCAAGGCGAAATTCCACCGTTCGCTACTTCATATCTGAGTTCCAACATTAGAATGTACGAATCATAAGGTATATTGTATCATGTTTTCTTACGATATTTATATATATTACACACGCAACAGATGAAAATGGACACCACATTTACTCTACATCATGTGTTTTATAATCATGTGTAATAATTATATAATTACGAACAGGAGAAATTAAACCGAAATTATACAATTACCTATAAAGTCGGAGAAAGCCTACAATATATTAAAACACTCGATCAAACTTCTCTGAGTTTCCTCTATATTATTTTCTTCATATACATTTTCATATTCCCTCGTTAGCTATATTATAGCATTTAAAAGCGAAGTTTATTGCAAATTCGTTTTACGAATGATAATAGTGTACCTTCGTAATCCATTAAGCCAGCACGACTCAATAAGAATCATTATATATATTAATAATTTGTGATGAAATGAATTTATTATCAATATTTTAAATTTGTTATTAAAAAAAAATATTACTAATTTTTCTTATTTCATTAATCAAATTTTCGCAAAGTAATAGGTAGGAAACGACCCACAAAAGAAGAAGCTGTGCAAAAAAGAAGTTGATTTAATTAAATTAAACTGACACGTATATTGAGTGCAGATTTAAATCCATAAATCTAGTTCGTTGAAATTATATTAGCTCGTGCGTGTTTAATTTCCACGCGTATCTCCATCAGGTTTCAGTCTAACGTTTAACTGGGTAATTAGTATTATTTCATATGCAATTACTAATTACATCAATATACATGATATAATTATTCTAAATTGTGTAATGAATAATATGAGTTGATTGGCTGCGATCATGATAATACGATGTAGTTAGAAAATTTATTAAATAATTTTATGGTAAATTGTTATCTCGCAGCTTTCTGGATAAAATATCATGTTTAAAAATTTTTAAAGTTATTAAATATTCATATATATTTGTAATTAAAGTAGTATGGTAATGTATTTATGGAAAATTTAAATATGCAAAAATGTACAGAATGAACGTAACAGATAAAAATGGAAAAGATATACTCGTTACAATATTTAGAAGGAAAAACAAATCTCTATCTAGGTTCCATTCCTGTAATTTAGTACATAAAAAATATGAATTTTTATAAACATTCACAATCAAGTAATCCTGGTTTTATTTCGTTGTCAACAAAAGTCGATATTCGCCAGAAATATTTGCGTGTTTTCATCAATTATGGAAATAAAAGATTTGATATCGACAAGTCATTTTAATGGGTTTGGTGCTTCAAGAGTGAATCAACATCTCTTGGAGCTTACAATACTGAGAAAAACGAAAGTGGATGGCTGGTGATTTAGCCATTTCCTCGTTAATTGCCATTACACTTGCACGCAGGATTAAGTACCGTGAAGCTTGGCGTAGTTTGATTTTACTGTGACTTTTCACGGAATAACGAATTAAGAGGCCCACTAATTGGTTTCGTCAAAAGGGCCATCTAACAGTCAAGGGGGGAGGAACGAATTTACGCGAGGGTAGGGAGAAGGACACGTTGCGTATACACAGACGAGTGAGGTGTACGATAAACGTTTCGCTTTCCAGTTTTCACGGGGCTACCGCGGCAAAAGAACATACAATAGCGAAGCAACGATTTACTGAAAAGTTATTCTTTATAGCAAATAAACAGTAGCTGTCTTACTGCCTGACAATGGAACGATGTTACTTCGAATCATACGTCGCGTTTCGAGCACATCGGTGTGCCAATATTTGGTTGTGTATATGAACAGTTTGTGTTTATAAATAATTTACTCAGGATGATATTTATCTATTTTGATAAATGTTTTAGTGAGAAAGCTTTAATTTTTAGTGATCATAAGTGATTGTATTGTGCTGGCGCATAATAGAGAAATTACCATAATAGAATCGTTTGATTTCCTTCGAAAATAGAATGACGATGTCCATGTGAAAATAAAAATGAATTCGACAGTTTTCTGTAAGAAAGTATGTAGTTAAGTTTTGTGTTGCGCAAGAGAAATATGTGGTTTCACCGGCAAATGAATTCTATATTCTACGTGGACGCTGACATTAAGCCTGCATATTTGGCTAAAGATGACAGGGTATGTTACCTAACGATTTTTACTCATTTCTTTAAACAATGTATCTACGCACATATATTCTACGTCAAATTACTTACAATGTGAAAAATGAATTCTTTTCATTTCATACTAACAGTAGATTCTTAAAAATTTATCGTTAATGATCTCGTTCTCTTTCTCTTTTGCAAATATATATTTATTTACAAATATCTAATTTTTACAAATTTTGACGCTGTCGATGCATAGGAAAAATTACAAATTGAGATATTAAAATACAGTTTGTCAAACGAGACAAAAGTATAATGACGTACGTTTGTATTAATAGTCTAGATATCGTAATACTTTCGCCTTTTACGCGTTTTTAAAAATCGGCTATTGTTTGATCGTTGAATAGTAGACTTGTAGATAGTTCACGCGTTTCTTTAATTAAATCTCGGTTTTCTATGAAAGAAAGTATGGTGGGAAATACCACGCGATACGTCTAATGTCGTAATATCACAAGCTGTAACAAAAAGTGAAACCGATAAGGAGTAATGGTTAACAGCGCGCTATTATATTGTATTAAATTATGTGTTTATTCGAGTTCTTCAACAGTGAAATAAAAGGACAACTTAGGAACCGTGAAATTACTTGCATGATGTGTAATTTAAATAGCACTTTAAGTTTTCGCTTTTATCACGAGTACATTGGCATCGTCAACTTCTTTTATTTGCCGACATCTTTTTTGTACAGTTTAATTTTACGCGGTGAATTAACTGTTGAATAAGGAGAATTGCTTACTGAGTATTAGCACGATGTATATACGTAATGCAGGACCAATATGAAAACCTTATTTAAACAATTTTTTTAAACAACTATCATATTGCGATCTTATCAGTTTATCTTTGATTAAAGTAGCAAGGTAAAATTCCATCGTTCGCTGCTTCATATCTGAGTTCCAATATGAGAATATACCAGTCATAAGGTATTATATTTGTATCATGTTTTCTTACGATGTTTATATATATTACACACATAATAGATGAAAATGGACGCCACACTTACTGTACGTCGTGTGTTTTATAATCATGTGTAATAATTATACCATTATTAAAAGAAAAGAGAAATTAAAGTGGAATTATACAATTACCTATAAAGTCGGAGAAAGCCCACAATATATTGAAACACTCGATCAAGCTTTTCTCAGTTTCCTTTGTATTATTTCCTTCATATACATTTTCATGTTCCCTCGTTAATTATATTGTAGTACTTAGAAGTGAAATTTATTCCAAATTCCTTTTATGAATGATAATAGCTAGACTGATGAGCGTAGCTTCACAATCGACCAAAACTTGACCTATGAATAAGATGACCTATGAATAAGACAATCGTTTGTATAACACTTATTAAATCGAAAAATTACACGTTCGATAAAACGACAATTAAGGGTATATCTAGGGGGATAGTGGCCAGGTGTGACTCGAAGTAAATCAAACACGTTGCATCCGGTTCGTGTATTCCGGTCTATACACGCGCCGTGCGGCAAAGGAATAATAATTTTCTTCTCTTCCCCTGACATTTTGCTTTCTGTCCCTGCGGCTGGCACGACCAGACCGGAAGCTTTATTATCGCACAGCTCGTTGCAAGTCGTGGGTGGACGTATAGCTTAACCATAGGCGAAGACATGCGCGGTACAAATTCCGTCTCTGAGATTCATTCCAGCGACCGCGGCGCGGATGAAAGTCATCGAGCGCTCGAAACTCATTTTCACTTCGCATAATGAGATATGTTTGATATTGGAGAACTTGAGACATAAATTTCGCTACTCCATACAGTCGTTCTTTGGTTGTGCACGATGACTTATGAAAATATTTTAACATTTATCATTGCAAATTTTTGTGAATATATTATGTGCACTGTACAAAAATGTTTAAAGTGTGTATTTAACATGTGAAGTAGAGATCTAACTGTACAGTCGTCGTTCTTCTAAAATACGCGTCAGATATCCACGCAACGAAATTCGCTCTTCTGTGTCACGCTTTAGCGAACATTCACATGCACTTTCGTCGCGTGTCTTCGTCAATCGACTAAAAGATTCGCAAACGTTGGGGAATCTTTTGCATGATTGGCCGAGTCGCAGCTTTAAACATAGAGTAGCTTACTCATTCACCAGCGAACTAGAGAATTTATGATCGTTCGTCTACGCGTCCAATTACTTCTTAAATTCTGTCGAAGCGAACCTGTTAAGCGAATGTCTGTCGTTCAACAGCCATTTCCGTGTGAACGTTCACGGCGCACTATCATTCTTTTCGCTAAACAAA